AGTGAGCACTGATGTGATTACAGATGATAGTAGTAGTCTTCTGCTCTGCTTTGGGCCTCCGACGTTTGGCATCAGTCGTGCTAAGCTGGCTACCACTGCTGATGCTTTTGCACTCACGTGTTCGACTTGCTGCTTAAAGTTGAGTCGGGCATCAAGCATCACTCCCAGATATCGGATATATGGTTGTGATGTGATTTCTTGTTCTCCGACTTTCAGTTTTATGGTCTCTATCACTTTTCTACTGGTAATAAGCACAGCCTCAGTCTCAGCGCATAATGCACATTTGGCTGGATTTTCGCAATCAGTAATCTTGTGCCCTTCTTGTCCGCACCTGATGCAAAGTCTAGACCGATCGACTTTGCTTTTGCACTGGGATCCGAAGTGCGCAAAGTGCCAGCATTTGAAACATTGGACAGGTCTCTTCGTTGCTCTTATTCGACAGTTGGCCCAACCAATTCTCACTTTGCTGTTTCCTTCTAGTAGCTTCTGTGCAGTTGTCGCTGGTAGCGTCACTGTAGCCGTTTGTGTACCTCTGTAGGCCTTACGGATCTTGATAGGCTCTAGTGGTATTTCGCAAGTTTCTCCGGTTTCTGTTTTTAGGGCAGTCTGAATGTGCTCCTTCGTCGTGTTATCATCAATGTCTCGGATCTCGATGGTCTCCTGCGGTCCTTTGCAGATTACTTCGGCCTCTTTTTGAAGAATATCCATGATGGTCTTTTGCAAGGCTTGGCCTTTGTCGATACTCTTCTTTGAGAGCGTAATCAGCATGTCCCTAGTTTTGGTTTTGTGGATCTTTTCCACGGTTGTGCGGACCTGTTCGTCAGGGACGGCCTGCTTTATACGACGCAATATTTCGGCGTACTTCTCCTTCTCGACCGGACGGATGATCAGAGCGTCAGGCCTGATCCATTTTCGCGGTTTCTTCCGCTTAGGTTCCAGCCGGGGAAAAAGTTAATTTCTAATGTATATACTTCAAATTTGTGAGAATACTACAAATTGATAGAAAATAGCAAATTTTTCATTTTTGCTACTAACCACTGTTACCCCGTCCCAGGGCATACTAACACAGCGCAGGGAGGGGGAAAGTGAGTTGGACCGAAAACACCGCTGTCCATCTTACAGCAACAAAGAAAGTTAATTTCTAATGTATATACATCAAATTTGTGAGAATACTACAAATTGATAGAAAATAGCAAATTTTCAATTTTTGCTACTAACCACTGTTACCCCGTCCCAGGGGCTCTTTCGGTGGTTGCTTTGGGAGCTGCTCTTTCCTTTGCATTTTCAGTTCTTTTTTAGACTGAACTCGTTGCCAAGCTGACGCTTTCATCTGTTCGTCACTTTGCAGTGCTGTTCTTTGCAGAAGGCTTTCCTTCAGGTCTTTCTTCTTTGTTGCTTGGCTGAATGTTGGGTCTGGAGAGGGTCTTTCCCAGGCTTGCCGAAAGTTTCATGCCTGTCTTCAGTGACTGATTCACCGTCACCTTCGGCTCCGATGTCCATTGCTTCGTCAGTCACGACGTCAGCTTCACAAGTTTTCTCCGGCGTAGCACGGAAAATACGCTGCAATGATGAGCACCATTCTTCGTCCAGTTTCTCAAACCTTTGAAGGGCGTTAGCTACACTAGTCGTCTTGGACTTTATCTCCTTGTGAATATTGACCTTTGATTGGACGAAATCATTCATCTCACTGGTCAGCTTTTTAAGGCATTCGAGCGCTTTCGACTGCTTCATTTCAACGCTTGCGTCAATCGCAGCTTGTTGGGCATGAAGCCCGTTTCTACTCTTGTTTGTTTCCTGTAAATTACTCATACTTTTTTGGTTTACCAGCGCATCGTACGGAGTGGAGCGGGTTGCCATAACTAGGAACGGGTGTACCCTCGGAGATAGTACTCCTACCCCAGTTCCCTGAGGCCTAGTCGACACTTAGCCAGTCCCGGAATATACGGACGGACTAGACTCGCTCGGGGCGGTGAAGATTCCGATCTCTAACACTCACTACGTACTTCCTGATCGAGGCCCGAAGTGACTGGCTCAGGATCCACTGCTGCAACTTACACCTCGGCAGAGCAAGCTCACATCAGCCGTGGTCTGCATCGTCGGAAACTACGATACAGGTTCCGGACACTCCCAGTGAGTTACAGCAGGGACCAATCGTCTTGCTAGGTCAGTTAGTGTGACCAGACCATTAAAGGGGAGTTTGGTCCACGGGAGCTTATTTTGTTTGGTTATTTTGCTTGGCTCATACCCGCTGTACCTCATCAAGAGATTAAATGTCATCCAAGGACAGCGAGCCTCCTTCCATCCGCTTGGGGGTATATGTATGTAAATCTCTCATAACTTTTGAACGGATCATCCGATTCGATCGAAATAGGCGGCGTTCTGAAGAGTTCCTTTGCTCCTAAAATTCTGATAATAATTTACAGAATTTGAGTCGATCAATTTTGAGAAATCTCAAAAATAAAATTTCCAAAAATTCGTTTTTTTGAAATATCTTTTAAACGGCTCAACCGATCAATTCCAAAATCTAATCAACTCTTAACCTCAAAAAACCACGTCGATTGCCACCAGCGCGATCAAAATCGGTTAATTTGTTCGTGAGATATCGTTGTCGAAAAAAATGTTTTTTTTTCAGAATTTCTATGAAATTTTTAGTCGGGCCTGTTTACGCTGAAAGATTTTTCAAAGAACCCAAAAAACTGCGTTGAATGCCGTAAACCGCGAGGAAATCGATTAATTCATTCAAAAGTTATTGCGATTTGAAAATTCAAAAAATAGTGTTCTACAAAACTTCCATTAACCTCTTCGAGCTCAAAAGCACAGAACAGCGATTTATTTAAGCTCGGAGAGCTTAAAATTACACAAAAATTATATTTTTGAGCTCGAAGAGTTTAAAAAATAAGTGAATTGTTAGGTATGGAGGTAGCGGGAAGTTGCAGGGATGGCCTTTAGGGTCAACCGTTTTCCTAATTTTTTTTTAATAGAAAAAATGAAATATTTTATTCAAACTTTTTACTGTCTTAAAGATACATGTTTAATAAGGGATTACTGAAATTAAAAAAAAAAAATATTAAAAACTCTGCTAATGTGACGTCATTTCTCGGAAAAAAGATGCGTCCGCGTGATTAGCAGAACTCCTAGCAGGGTCATCAGAAGTGAAAAAAAAAATATGTGCTTTAGTTAAGACTTCAAACTAGGTCTTGAACGAAGGAAAAAAAAATAAAAATTGGATATTTGGCAGAGGTTTTTACAAAAAAATTAAAAATTTGGCTAAAATTTCGCGGTATTTTTTTTTTTTAAGTAGTAATTAAAAAAAAAAATTCTCCGTTTAAGACCTTGGAAATTATATCTCGAAAACCTGTCTAAAATTTCATCAAGATCGGTTGAGTAGACCTCGAGAAATCTTGAGTACCGTCTTTGAAAACATAGTTTTGAGAAAAACGCGTTTAAAGTTTTGAGTGACAATGCAACAGTGCCTTGAGCGCGCAACTTTTTAAAATTGTATCTCTGAAACTATTATTCGTATCGATTTTAAACTTTAGGACAATATTCTAGAGATGTTGTAGAATTTAATAAGACAAAAAAAATCGATTTTTTGAAACCGTGAAACCCATGTAACCCCTTAAGTGTTGAAATACTAAAATCACCAATATTTGACTGAGGAAACCCAATAAATGACCGACCGTTCTCCAATAAATTGACCGCTGAAATAAATATAAGTAATTTTGTAAACTACATAAATGTAATTAAATTTATTCATTACTTTTTAAGTATTAACTACATCTTTAACAAAACTAAACTTACAATATAATTACTATTATGTTAAATAATAGTAATAATTGACATAAAACCATATTTCTTTAGATCACAAGTAATCACAACTTTATTTTGATGACGATAATTCTTCTGATTCTCTTGAGATTTTTTGATTCTTCTTCTTCTTCTTTTTTTCAATTAAAGCTTTTTTACTAGCTTGCAAATCTTTTTTCTTTTAATTGCTTAGCAATTTTTTTATCTTCTAATAATTTGTTCCTTGATAACCGTTCACTGAAAAAATTGGAACAAAATAAAATTTACTAACCAAAAAAGATTTTTAGTATTATTTTAATTATAAATTGTTATGCCTTGGGAGAAAGGTTCAATTTATTTTTAAAATAACTTGCACAAATTTTAATGTCTAAACTATAGTCACTTTTAATTGTTTATTTTATAACATAAAGTTGCACTTCAACTGGAAAACTTATTATTAACTGTTAAATTTTAATTAAATCGTTAGTAATTATTCTGGGCTTAATTTTATATTATAATATTAAAGTAAGATCTTTGATTACAATTCTATAATCAATTCTCAAAGGTTTTCTGTAACTAGGAATGCATAATAATTTGTAGTGTATTCTATGAGTTTCATTCTGTAACTGATTAAAAAGGTGTTAAAGAAAGTACATTGCAGTTTTAAGTATCATTACGACACGGGAATAAACTGGTAATATGGTGTGCTCTACCCAGACGTTGGCGTATGAACATCACCGTCAGCAATTTTGAAAGATAACATTAAAAGAATAAGTAAAAATCTACAGAGGCATAACAAAATATACATTTTAAAATTATTATGTTTATATTTACAAAACATTTAACAAAACATTGAATAACTTAAAATATTTTTTTAAAGCTATAATCACCGCGTATTGAACTACGCAACTTTTCATTATGATGATTAAATGCCATAGTATTTTTTTTAATACAGTTAGAAAAAAAAACCCTTGTAAAATAATAATTAATTAACTTTTATATACATCGGTCAACTAATTGGTAACCGGTCAACAACTGGTGCATTTACCCTATCTAATATTATTAAAATGTATTTATTAATTTTTTTCTTGGTTTAAATTAAATTATTTCTGTAAAAAAAAAATCTAAAATGAGTTATTAATAAGTGTTAAATTACTAGTACTCTGACCCAATAACTAGCTTTCACAAAATTAATAAATTTCATTCAAATTTAGAGCGCACAAGAAGAGCGAGAATCTTTGCTTTGTAAACAGGAAGAGCTAACTTCAGAATTGAAAAGCTTACGGGCATCTGCTGAAACAAATGCAAATGAATTAGAACGCTTGGTAAAACATGTTCACCACCTTGAGTTAATTGTTGACTCAGATAATTTAGAAAGAAAGCAGTTGAGTTCAGAATTGACTGAAGTTAAACAAGAAAGTGCAAATAAAAGTCTCGAAATCAATCGACTTGTAACTTTATTAGAAAATGCTCGTGCCAAAGTTGAAGAATTAAAAGTTTCAAAACAGCTTGAAACAACAAGTGAAGCCGATGAACTTCTTAATACTGTAAGACGAGAAAAAGACACTCTCGAAACACAAGCTGCTGTCTTACAAGAACAATTGGCTCGTTCACATTGTGATTATGACAGATTAAGAGATCAATATTCACAATTACAAGAAGAATTCAAAGTATGTTCATTAAATTTATTATTAATTTAATCCTAATTTAATTATACAATCATTAATTTAGACAAACTTCTACAGGTTACCCGTAACAACGCTAAATCATCCATAGACGATTTAGAATATCGCTTGAGCCAATTAAATGATGAGCGAATATCAGCCAATACGGAATTACAACTAGTTCGAGACTCATTATCTGAGTTGCAAAATCAATGTCAACGACATTTAGAAGATAAACGAGAGCTTAAAGTTTTATTGAGTGAAGCTCAACGACGAGAACGCGATGCACAACATCACTATTATGATTTAGAACAAGCACTTAATAATGAACGAAAATTACGACAAGAAAAAAATGCTGAGTGGGAACAATTTCAAAATGATTTATTAATGACGGTTCGTGTCGCAAATGATTTTAAAACAGAAGCGCAATCTGAACTTGAACGTGTTCTTATGGAAAACAGAACACTACGGGAAAAATTGAGATTACTTGAATCTCAACTAGAAAAACTTAGTAATGGTATGTTGTCACTGTCATTTATTCATTAAATTTTTCCAAAACTATAGCTTTATCAACAATATTTCTATTAAGAAACCAAAAAACTGTTTTAATTGAACAAAAATAACTTTAATTTTCTTACTTTCCTTGAGTTTTTAAGAGCTTTCTGACATTATTACGAAAAGAAATTCTTTCATTCTCAAAGTTTAATAAGTGAAATATTGAAATTATTATGACCAATGCTAATCTTTGTAGATTCATGTTTAAGATAAAAGTATCAAAAATATTTCAGAAAAAGGAAAAATAATAATTTCAATTTTCTATTAAGAATGGCTGGAGATTCTTCTTGAATCATTATATAACAATTTTTGATATGTATTATTGTGCATATATGATCATTAATTGGAGTTTAATTCTATAAGTTTGAGTTTCAACCCTTACCATGACTGGGTAGAGAAAAACATTTTTTTGAAAAAAATCTCCCAAAAAGTTTCTAGTTTTCAAATTTAGACTTCAGCATGTTTCAATTTTAGCAGCTTACAGTTTAGTTTCTTAAAAAATGATATGAAAACCTTAAAATATTTTAATTATTTAAAACTTAAATTTTTTAGTTATTTGCTCTGAATTGAATCTGCAGTTCATTGTTTTTATTTTAAAAAATGAACCAATATGACCGTGCACAGATAAAAAAAAATTAAAAACTTCTTTTTTAATCATCTTAGTATCTATTTTATAATTTGTATATGTCTAAGTAGTTCTTAATAAAATTAGTGAATTGTTTTGTTATAAGTCAATTAATTTTTCAGTAAATCAGAAAAATGTTTCACTGGCGTTACGACAAACTTTGCCCCCTACCGAAACTCAACAAAATGTATTGACTGAGGTTAAACAAGAAGTAGTAGCTCGTCGGAAATCTAATCTCTCACGGCAAGATTCTAGACTATCTGTAAAATGTTTGATTGAAAGTATTGAAAACGCTACTAAGCAAGCAAAAGCTGGTAAGTTTATTTTGTAGTTAGTCTTGAAGAATTTAAATTGGATTTAATTGATAAATAATTATTTTAGGACCAGGCAGTCAAAGTAGTTCTACATCTTCTTTAAATTCTATTGGAGCTAATGATTTATTGAACCTAAAATCTTCATTACGTGATCAGCAACAAATTAGTAACATTATCAGTGCTACAAATTCACCGAATTTAATTAAAATTCATAATTTTGATAATAAGAAATTAACATTTTCAGGTAAGAATAGCAATTTTCAAATCAATTAAATGTTAAAATTAATGTTGAATGTTAAAATTAATTGTTTTAAGTATTTTCTTTATTATATAAATTACAGAACCATCAAAATCTACACTTATAAATTTAAATTCAAAAGAACTGTTGGATTCTGCAACATTAAATGTAAATACTATTGATTTTGTCCGACGAAACAGTATAACAGATCTTACTGGTAAAGATCCTTTATGTGGATTGGTTAAAAATGGTGGTTCTAAGAGAAATGCATTACTTAAATGGTGTCAAAATAAAACAATAGGTTATCGAAACATCGATATTACGAATTTCAGTAGTTCCTGGAATGATGGTCTTGCACTTTGTGCTATTCTTCATTCATATCTACCCGACAAAATACCTTATGATTCTTTAAATCCATCTGATAAGAAGAAAAATTTTTATTTAGCATTTTCAGCAGCTGAAAGCGTAGGAATCCCAACGACATTAGTAAGTAAAAGTTATTTTCATTCACAATTAATAGTTAATATATATTCAACTCAACATTTTTTATACTTTTAGAATATTAGTGATATGTGTCAATTAGAGCGCCCTGAATGGCAGCAAGTTATGACGTACGTTACAAGTATTTATAAGCATTTTGAAACTTGAATTACAAAAAACATCTTTAAATCCGGAAAAAATGATGACATCTAGTCAAATTTATTATAAAATCAATCACTAAAACAAACAAATTCATCAAAGTTGTTCGATGAAGATATTTTTAAATTCTGATAAGTAATATGAAAACAATAGTAATCATAAAAAGTTTAAACTATATTCAAAGGAGTCGAAATTAAAAGTGTATTGAAAGCAAATAACAAATTTTTTAATTAGGTTTTTTCTGAAAGTGTGATATTTTCGAGCTCAAACAGAGTGTAGTCTCAAAAAAGTTTTTTATTATCTCCCATACTTTTGTAATTTCAATACCTCAATTTATATTTGTAACGGTTAGCTTTTTTGAACTCTAATTAAAATTTTATTAGTAATCGTTAGAATTACATAAAATCGATTGTTTGTACATAATTACTTCATTATAAATATTAAAAAAAAAAAAAAAAAAATTACAAATAAAAACGAGGGAACAAATTTCGTTCACGTTTAAAAATTATTTATGCTTTTATCCAAAAAATTCAGTATTATCATAACAAGATCTGACTATACAAAAACAAAATATTTGAGATCATTCAAAAAGCAGTAATCTTTTGATTTTTTTTAGTTATAACTTAGTGTAAAGATGAATAGATGGTTTTATTAAATCAGTTGAAAGTGTTTATTGTAAAATATGTAGAAAGCAATAAATGAAATTTTTATAATCAAGATATATTTTTTTTGTATTTAACATAATGATCATCTTAATTTTAGGTATTTTTTGAAGTTTGTGACAGAAAATTTCAAATAAATTTAATATTATTATATACTAAAATTATTACCTAAAAATATGGCGATTCTCGGTATGATTCATTCTAACAATTTCATCCGTTTGTGATGGATAGATGCTTTACAATGAATAAACGTGGGTGCTGGCGCTGACATCTAACCATTGATGAATGATGATCCTTCAAAATTTTTATCAAATGTGGCAACTTATGGAAGTTGTCCACTAATTGTCTCAAATATTTAATGGTCCCGAGAAAAAATAATCATACATGATCATGCGAGACCACGAGTTAATCTCATGCATGACCATGTCTGAATATTCGTCATACGTAAAAAAGCATGACCCATGCGTGACCAAGTACGATCATGCTTTTTTAGATCTGGCGAATATCCAGGAATGATCATTCCTGATCAAGCATTATCGTGTATGACAAGGTATAATCATGCATAGAGAACAAAATAACGATAAAAAAAATTTTAAATAAACAAAAAAAGTTTTTTTTGTTTATCACGGTTTTAGTCTTTCACTATATTTAGTGGTAAATTGTTTTTTTTTCTTTGAACAAAACCATTTGACATTCGATTCTTGACGAGATTCGAACCCGGGACCTTTGTGACATCAAGCACGAACGTTAACAACTGCGCTGATCCGCCTTAATACTTGGAAAAATTTTTACTACATACCCGGGAAAAAATGATCAGGCCTGATCAGACATAAATAGGCATGAGTCTTCAGGCCTGATCAGACATGAAAAATAAACATGCCTGATCAGGCATGAATTGACCTGATCAGGCCTGATCAAACATGGTCAGGTTCAAAAAACAATTGTTACTTTTAATTAATTATTTTGCTTAATTTTATGGATACAGTATTTGATAGAGTCATACGCAATTCTCTTTACTGAATTAAAATAAAAAAAAAAATTAGGAAAACGGTTGACCCTAAAGGCCATCTCTGCAACTTCCCGCTAATTCCGTTAATCCTGGCCGGTTTTCTGAGCTCTTCAAGCTCAAAAATACAATCTGTGTATTGTTTTGAGCTCTCCGAGCTCAAAAAGATACCTTTTCTCTGCTTTTGAGCTTTTTGAGCTCAAAAGTCTGATAGAAGTTTCATAGAACACTATTTTTTTAACTTTCAAACCGCAATAACTTTTGAATAAATGAACCGATTTTTACGCGGTTGGCGGCATTCAACGCAGTTTTTTAAGCCTCATAAAGAATTCCTAAGTTTCAATTGGTCAAACTAGAAATTTCGGAGTAACTCCGGAAAAACTCTTTTTTCGGTTTTCTTTCGTTCACGATATCTCTCGAACGAATCAACCGATTTTGACCGGATTGGCGGCGATCGACGTGGTTTTTCAAGGTTGAGAGCTGATTAGTTTTTGGAATCGATCGGTAGAGCCGTTTAAAAGTTATCCCAAAAAAAACCACTTCTGAAGGAATTTTTTTTCCTATTTTTTTTTTAGATTTCTCCAAATTTCTGAAAATCTATCAGTCCGCATCGGTTCAAATTAATAGGAAATCTAAGTTTGGCGAAGCCTTTTCGAATGGCACCAACCGCGATGACATCGGTTAAACCGTTCAAAAGTTATAAGAGCTTCACACACACACACACACACACACACACACACACACACACACACACACACACACACACACACACACACACACACACGT